CCCAGGGCGCAGCGCACAAGGAGGTTTTGGGGCACAGGATGGGGAGAGCCCAGTGTGGGATGGTTCTGAGCTTCACGCTGCTCATTCTCTCATTGCAGACGATCCCATCCATTTGCTCAGGGAAGTGGTTTTGCTGACGGACGACCGGAACCTACGAGTCAAAGCGCTGACCCGCAACGTGCCGGTGCGGGACATTCCCACCTTCCTCAAGTGGGCTCAGGAGGGCTGAAAGGGGCCGAGCAGCCCCTGAGCAAGTCACGCAGCCTGTGAACGGTGGGAGACCGGCTTCTGAGTTTTTTTCGCCACCGCCTTCCAGCCCACCACGAACAATACACGCCACGTCTTCAACCCACCCCAGAATGGCCAAGCTGAGAAGGGGGTTCCCCCCCCATGAGCGCAGACCAGCCGGGAAGGTCATTGCTGTGGATGGTTCACGTGGAGGCTCTGGGACGTTCAGGGTCCCACCAGCCTTTGGGCAGTGCCAGAGTGGAGCTGGTGAGCCCCACTGGTGAGGGAAGCTTTGGGTGAGCCCCGGATCACCAGCCTTCTGCTTAGTTTGCTTGGTTGCAGAGAGCTCGAGTCATGAGTTGGTGGCTCTTTGGGTTGGTAGGCTGCGTAGGGCAGAGACCAGGGACACGCCAGCGCAGACTTTGGGATTGCTTAGTCTAGCTTGTGCCCCACGGAGAGGCCGTGGACATCAAGGGCAGGTTCCCTCCTATCCCAGCCTGTTCGTCCTGCGTGGCCCAGGCAGCCCCTTCCCCACCCTGCGCCCGCCCCATGCATGGGGTGCTGTTTGTGGAGGTGCTTGTCCTCTCCCTGCTGCAGGGTTTGCTTGTTGAGTTTCATTTCTTTCAGTATAGGTTAGTTTTCAGGTGTATGCCCTCCCTGCTTTGCTGGGGGGAGGCTTTGAACATCCCCCAGTCCCCCCATAGCTGCTTTCTGTCCTGCTCCCTTGCCTACCCCAGCCATTGCCTGCCCTTTTCCTCCTCCCCAAACCCCTTAGTCTCATCCTTTTAGACATGTTTTTGACCTAGGACTAAGCGTGAGGCTAACAGAATTCTCCAAGGACCCCAGAACCAGCTGTTCCACAAATCCCATGTGTCCTTTTATTGCCACGGGCTCCTCTTCATGTGTGGGACCCTGCTTCTGCTGGAGAGATCCATGGCTGGGAGGGTCTCCTTCTGAGTTGCCTGTTCACCATGGATGGAGCTGTGAAGTGACCCCGCTGCGTCATCACTGGGTTAAACTACAGCGCTGGGGTGCTGCTGAGCCCCACCACCACATTGTCCCATCAGCAAGTGCCCCATCCTTGGCCCAGTTACACGCCAGATACAGAAGCTAAGAGGGAGCATTAACGCGCGAACCAGAGCCGCTGGAGCTCTGTCAAGCCCCAGTCCCACGAGCAGAGGGAGGGAGTGACCCTTGGAGGTGCCACGGCCGTGGGATGAAGTGTCAGAGGTAGCAGAGGAAGCAGCAGGATGGAGCCCAGCGTTTTCCTTCCCTGTGTGGGTGGCTCGGACCCGGTGTCCACATCAGGAAGCGCAGCGTTATCCCTGCCTGAGCCTCGGCAGGGACAGGGACAAGGACAAGGGTTGTGCTCACGAACCTGTGCTGTGCTTCACCCCAGCCTCGCTGCCCGTGAAGAAGGGTCTGTGCTGCAGGGCAGAGCCTGGTCGACAGAGACTTTGGGGTGCCCGTGCCTGCTGTGGGGTGCACAGACCCATGCCCACACAGGCCGTGGCACACACAGCACCCACACCTCGGCGCGATGCCCAGCACCGGTTGTCAGCAGCACACAGACTTTGCCTTCTCCTCCACGCTGGGGGTGTTTAAATGTTTGCTTTCTAACAGAGCTGCCCCAGGGCTGCTTTGCAAGGCCCTTCCCAGGGTACCCTGGAGGGACACCGACCACGGGCCCAGCCATGGGACAAGAGGTCCAGGTACCACCAGATGAGCTGACACAACAGCCTGGGGCCATCAGTGCCAGGCTGCTGCCCCAAACCCCCGTGGGGAGCCCGTGTCCGGGGCAGCGTTCGGGTTGTTTTGGTAAGATGGTTTTAATCATTTTTAGTATTAAACATTTCTCTGTGCAGCGTGGCCTCTCATTTGCCCTCAGCGGGCGAGGTGCTGTTGGAGTTGGGGCAGGGCTGGCACTGGGGAGGGATGGCATCAGGACACATTTGTGCTTCCAAGGACAACCACAGCTCTATCCCACCTTCATCTGCTGCTCCCCTCAACCAAGGCAAACCAGCTGCACAGCAAAGCCCCTCACCTCCCCTCTGGGCATCTCCAGACCCACCCAACACAGCCTGAACCCCC